TTTCTCCTATCCTCATACAAGAAGCATTTCACTTTCTTCTCTTAATTTACTGAACAATCACATTTTTTCTCATGCCAGGTCCTTCCTGACAGTCCCCTTTATGATACTTTGTAGAATCCAAATTAATGTGGAAAGCACACAGATTGCTTCAGGACAACCTCAGAATTTTATGACTTCAGAAATGGTCCTTTCCTTGATATCAAAGTATTAAGCTCACCTAAGTTTAACTACTCATGGGTGTGATCCTGACACTGGCTGAGCATCTCTACTCCCACAGATCTCACACTTCCTGTGCATCCTCATCACTTCTCAAAGGTCAAAGACCAGGTCAGGATAAAATGCCTCACGTTGCTTCCTTAACTAACCCCTCATATTCACTGGGTTTTCCCCCACAAAAACATCTTTCTGACCACTGCCATGTACTAAATGTATTAAACAAACTACATGAAAATATCAGGATCCTGAAACAAGAACCCTTTGAGAAAACAGATGCACATTTACAAAAGGATTTAAAATAAAAACTATTTTCTCATACACTGAGCAAAAGATGTAAAAACTAGACAGGGAGAATCCCACAACCAGCAAGGACACTGACAAATTACTAAGCATTGCCATCCCAGTGGGATTGTGCAGGCTCATCCCTGGATAACACAAAGCACTGCTCAATAGTCTGACTTGAATGATGAAGATTCATACCTCATGGACTTTTCTGCACAGAGATGTGCTGCATTAAATCCTGGGATGAAACATACTCCTCAAAATGAAAACATGGAAAATTCCTGCTAAATGCCAAGTCTGAAGCAGCCATCATTCAAAGGGACAACTTGAGCAGAACAGGTGCCAAGGATGTCTGTTCTCTGGATTGATTTACAAACTAAGATTCTTCTAAACCATTAGATGCTCCCCCTGTCTCATGTGAGCAGACAGCGAGTCGAATTCAATGGATCTCATCGGCATCTGGAAACTCTACAGGCAAGGATATCTTCTCTATTGTGTTTTTGAACAGAATTAGTTTTCATCCAGCTGAAATCTTTGCTCTGAAGCTGTACAATCCCTGCTCTCTTCCTTCATAAGTCAGGTTTATGCCTTTTCCATGTGGTTTTGATATGCTCATAGAACTGGAGACCAAGGGAAAAACAGCCTAATGCGTTGAGGAAAGGACCCCCAAGACAAGAACTCACACAAAATACTATTCTCAACATCACCAGGTACTGTGTTCTGCATTGTTGCTCTTCTTAGCTGTGACCTTTCATAAATGATATCAGATGGTGTTTGCCTTATCCAATAGCCTGTACCATTGTTCAAGGCATGCATGCACATACATAGCATTAGTTTCTCTAGCCTATTAATAAAAGCAGAAGAAAATAACAATGGCAAATTGGGTACAGATTTATACTGATCTGCTTCTGCAGTCTACTTTCCTTTCTAAATTATATTTATGCATTTTCATTTCCAGCTTCTTTAACTATGAATATTACTGACTAATTATCTTTTTACTATGATGGACACAACCCAAAAACCTAGATAGAAGTATGTCATAATCTCAGTTCTGGTTATAAATTTTGTGGCTTGAGTCACAAGTGATTGAAGACTTTAACAAGCATGCCCAAGAAAACCTGACTGCAAATGAAGTTATCTTTATTTTATTTTCCCCATAAAGAGAAGGTTTAGCTCAGCATATTGCTCACAGAGATACACAAAGCACAACGGCTTGTTTTGGGCTGCTGCCATTCAGGTTCATGCTGCATCCCCATCTAGAGTCATTAATCTTTTACCACCAGGAACACAATTAATCATGGTATTTTTTTTCAGAGGAAAACGACAAAAATCATAGTAATTTTTATAGAAATCTCTGCAAGGTTCTCCATCAATAACAGTAATTTTTCTTCTCAGTACACCCTAATAGATTTGCTCACTGAAACCTGCTTGTCTTTACAGCATACAAAAATACAGTAATCTAAAACACATATAACCAATAGAAAAAACACATGAAGAAGCAGTCTGCTTAGTTGTGCTGTATAAGGCAATAAGTGTCCTGTTACTGATAGCTGGACCATAAATAAAGAATGGATGCGGTTGAGAAAAAGGTGTTTAACTTGCTTTGGAGGTTATTTTCAGGTGGAAACATTTTCCCGTCTAGCTCACAACACAAAAATCTTTGCCTAAACTATGATGCAAGTTTTGATTCAAAACTTACTAAAACCAAAAATCTTACCAACTTTTGCTGGCAGTTTTGCTTGTGTTAGTGCATGTTACTTGTGGATATAAAAAAACCCAAACCTATGGAAGTACGAATTGATGCCATCCCCTCACCCTCAGCTTCATTCACATCCTAGGTCAGAAATGCCCATTGCCAGTTGTATAAAAATCTCACTCATACTGTTCTCAGCATTTAGGTCTGAGAACTTACTTGAGCTCAGCTCTCATTAAGGTCAATAAGAGTTCTGCCTGAATACAAATGACACCTTACACCCCTTCAAAATATTACATTTGCCACATGGATTCATATACATCTTCATTGTTTTCTTTAGACATTTTGTAACCTAGTAATGCTTTTAAAATTAAATGTCACAAGCTTTTCTCTTTTTTCTTTTCTTTTCTTTGTTTTCAAGAGATACACAGAAGACAGCTATAGACTGACCCATTTTTTTTGCTCCTTTTTTTTTTTTTTTTTTTTTTTTTAAATCCATAAGGTAATTGGCTTTCTGGAGAACTAACTGAATTTTCCAAATTTAATTTTCAAAGATGCTCCATGATATCCATTATAGCAAACACTGTCCTGCAGATTCGATTAGTAGGCTCTCTGGACCTGCTTATTTCTGAATTGAAAGTGCAGTACAGCTTGGATAAATGAATTACCTGAGCAGCGGAACTTCTTGCTCTTGATCTGGCTGATTCGTTTGTTGGCAAGGCGACGCGGATTGCTGCATCGAGCGCCGCTGGTTTCTATCGGATTATCCTGCAGGTAATCAGCCAGCCACTTCAAATGGCAGTCGCACACAAATGGATTCTGAGCTAAATGTCTGTGAGAAGGATGGGATGTTTAATCAGAAGTGACCTGTGACACTGTACTCCATCACTGTTTTTCACAAACGCAAACCTGAAGAGTAGAGTAATTGAATAAGCTTCCAAAAACCCAGGCCTGGCGGAAACCACACGGAGCTGCACATGAATGGGAGAATTCTGTGAGCTATCACATTTCGTAGCTCATTAAGCCTGCTGCAAGTCCTTTCACAGAGGAAACAAAAATTAATATAGCAAAGCCTGCTTTAAAGGACACAGACCTATCTACAAAGTCCAATGTTTTCTCCTGAGAGCTTGATATGCTGCCTTTTGAGAGAAATGCACATTTTTAGATGCACCTGACCTGAAGATCATTTTGTATCCTGGTTTAAAAGAAATTTTATTGGCAAGCTCAGTTTCCTAGGGATCAAAATGTGAATTAGTGAAGTGCCTTGGATCTGTGGGCAAAGCCAGAAGTGATCCAGAGGCCTTTTCTCAAGAGTGAAATTGATATTTGCATATACTCATCATGCATAATAGTATTCCTCTTATATGTACTTTTTCCTGGACCAAAAACTTTTACTTTTGAGACTGAACTGTTTATGCAAGGTAGAACTTGACTCAATCCTTCACCAAAATTTACACAACATATTTCCCACAAAATTGGAAATAGGTATTACAGCATTGATTTTAACTGGATATTTAGACTTCATTAATAGATATCTGCTGGAGTATCTTAGAGAGAACCAGTATTTCTCTGCTGCTGTTATGATTCATTCTGCTTGACAAAGTTGAGCACTATATCAGGAGAGTTTGTCAGGTCTTTCTCAGAGCCTGATTCTGATCTCTGTTAAGTTAACTTGCACCAGTCCTCTAACTTCCAAGGGAGCAGGACACGGCTCTCCAATAACTGCAAAGACAGTTTAAAAAAAGACAGATGTTTAAATTTGGTTTGGACAGACGTGTAAAGCTATATCCTCACAAGAACTCTGCTGTTACTGTTAGTGTATTTTTTCCACCTGCAGAAACTTCTTTTCTGTTTGCAGTTATATATATGAACTGTCACTTAACAGAGTAAGTATAAAATACAACAGGGCAAAGGCTGTCAAGGAGTGGGAAGCGAAAGCATACGTAGCAGAAAGTGCCTGAAGAAACTAAAGATTACTGTAGTAGTAGAGCCGTTCCTGGTGTGAAAAGAACAAACAAGCATATAGAGACAGGATATAGGACTGGTTTTGTAGCTCTAGAAAAAAGGCAGAAAATGGTAATCACTTGTAGTACTAAAAATGGGAGAATGAATAAAAACATTTCTCTGTGTGAAGCAACAAGTCCTTTCTAAGTAATGGCCACCAAGAGTACTAATAAAACCCCAGGGAAACCGAGGAGAAGTTTTTATACTTTAAGGGTGTTACTTGTTTAACTTGACAAATCTTACATACTTCTGTAAACAAACCTTCTCTGTCATCCTTGTTTACATATATACCTACATACATATATAGCATGCTGCAGCAGAAGAAAGTATGGTAGAGTTGGGGGGCAGGGCCGGAGAGGGTTGTACATGATTATTCTAATGCCTTAATGATTTGTAGCAATACATACTGGCCAGATATCTGTTGGAAATTATGGTTGTGCTTGTGGCTGCCTGAGGACATAGCAGGTACACTGCTGCTAGAAATCATCCCTATTAGTTCATTTTTATACGATTTAAAACATTTATAAAACTGATTTGGCCAATGCATTTCCAGTATTAAAATATATGTGCATGTGTATAGATACAATTCCAGTACTACAATATGTGTGTATGTATATACACATATATTATGTGCATATATATTCCAGTATGTATATATACATACACATATGTATTTTAATACTGGAAATGCATATACTTACATACTACATTAACACACAGAGCCTTATATCTATATATGCACACACAAATATATATAAACACACATACACAATACTGGGTGAGTGGGGTTCTTCCTTGCTTTTCATTTATATCAGGCTGCCAACCCCAGCTCTGAAGAAGTACTATTTACCTTATTATCTTACTACTCACAGCTTTAGGATGAAACTTTCTTCTGTAAAATAACAAGTCATTTCTATACTTCTGCTTCCAATTTTGCTTCTGATCCCTCTTCTCCTAATGCCTCCAATTCAAAGACTCTCAAGAAAATGTTTAGCGGATTTTCTTAATGGATCAAATAATACAATGTATCATTTCCCTTAAGTGGAATGTCAGCTGAAATACGGTTTCAGAAGTCATGAACTGTACAGCAGGACTCAGATCCAGTAAGGAGAGATGCCAACTCACTAGCTCATTAAAAGCTGTTAGGCAATGGTTTCAATAGAATCTGCTGTTCATATATTGTACAGTCTAATTTACATATTATCTTCCCAACAAACAGTAGGAATGAATTTCTCTGGGAGCTTAATACATTTATGACATTTATGTCACTATGGGCAGGCTGTATCGATAGCTGGCTGTGCTGAATTTATGCAATACTTCTTCTTCTTGGTCCTTTTATTTCTGTCAGAAAAGGAGGGGCTACTACCTTGAGGTCTCTTCCAAATTGTCTTAATGTCAGATGCAAAGCCTTTGCAAGGACTGGCAACATCTTTGGGGGGAAAAAAGAGAGAACTGTCATTTATGATATGCCTGCATACTCACAGAGTCTGGATCGATCGGAGAGGTGCAAAGAGCCCCTTGCTGATGGTCTGCAGTTTGTTGTCATAAAGAGATAGCAGTTTGAGATTATGCAGACCTTGGAACGTGTTTACCCTCAGGCAGTTGATCTTATTGGCATTGAGAAGCCTGAAAACAGAGGAAAGGTTTATAATTCATTAATCTTGTAATAATCAAATAAAGATAGACTGAACTTTGGGGTTAAATCTAAAAAAATATTAACACAGTCTCCAAAGCTAACCCACATTTAAAGGTCTTCATTTGCCTGTTACATTAAAAAGGTGAAAAAACCATGGACAACACTAGTATCCTCATAGCTGGGGAATATACAGACATATAACAGTGCTAGCTAACTTAAAATACTTAAAAGATTTTTTTTTTTTTGGTATGCCCAGCCCCCTCCCCCAATTTGTTCAAACTTCTACACAAATATTTAAAGAATTCTTCAGCTTAATATACATAGAAATAGCAAATACTCCCCACCTTGCTATTCCATGCACACACTCATACACAAAGTCCACGATGAGAAGAACCTTTTTTTTCAGTTTTCTCTACCAGCAGCTGTCTTAAGTCTAACTGACATTCTGGAAGTTTGACATCTTCTGATAAGCAGTGCAGGGTTAATTTGATCATGGAAGGAAAGAAAATGTGATTCTCCTCAGAGACAAGAAAAGAGATGTGTAGGGTCTGGACTAAAACTTAGTGAAAGGCAAGCTCACTTTGTACCTAAGGATAGTCAAGCAGTGGAACAGGTTGCTCAGAGTTGTGCAGTCTCCATCGTTGGAGGTTTTCAAGATGATACCGAATAAAGCCATGGGCAACCTGCTCTGACCTAATAAGGTGACTCTGCGTTGAGCAAGGTTCTCCAGTCTCATTGGCTAGTGACCACCTGAGGTCCCTTCCAACCTCCACTGTCCTACAATTCTATGAATCTGCTCCATTCCAGTTACACCAGATTCCTGTGCAGTTGTGGAAAAGCAGCACAAAGGCAATTTACATCCTTTTTTTTTTTTTTTAAAAATATTTTGCACACCTACACAGCAGCCAGTTGGCAGAACTAAAATCTTGGACAGTACTTGTGCAAGTTCTCTTAGATTATCCAGCCAGAGTTCTGTCATGTTAACAAGTATTTACAATCCCCAAAACAAGCCGAATCTCCCTCTGAGACAATCGAACACGAGAACACTTAAAATTGTCATTGTCATCTGCATATGTGGTATTTTACACTTAGAAGGAAAATAGGCAAGAAATGACCTATTCTTCTTACAAAAGCCAAAATCCACATCTTTTGACTACTATCAACCTGAGAAAAATGGTACGTTGCAAACAATATACGCTGTTAACTCAGTTGCCTTGGGCACAAAATTCTTGCTACTTTGTCAATGAGTTTGAAGACCTTAATATTGCAACATTGTGGCTCTCTAAGGCACCACACTAATACTACATCAGAAGTGTTTATAGGTAAAAAGGAAAAGACATCCTCCATTCCTCAGCAAGCAAATATACCACCTGCATACACACCTCTAACAGCACAGGAAGCTTCCATTTTCAACTAACTGCACGTAAACCACTAGAGAAAACAGAGCAATCTATCAGGGAAGAAATGCATGCTTGTTAGCTGCACATGATGCTTTTCTTTTGCTCCAGAAAATACCTTCAGAAGGTGTTTCCTCTGCATAGCACCCTGCCTTTCCGTTGCTGAAACCTCTGGAACATTGTACACTCATTACAGCTCTCTGCTCCTACTGTCATTTTGGCAGAGCCTCATTACTGCAGTAAATGGTTACAGTAATTGTGATATGTAAAAGATGGACACATACTTGGGTAGAACCCTTTTCTCAACGAGAACAGGAATGCAGTGCTCTGGAATGAGAGGGTGTCAGAGCAGAACTCACCTTTCCAGCCAACAGAAAAGTCAATATCAATTTATCTGAGTTTTCTTCTTTATATGTCATGGAAAAAGAAGTTTGACATTAGATAAGAGAAGGTCCCATAGAAGGCAATGATGGATAAATGAGGTTATATTTTTGCATGAACTAGTAACTGAAGTAATTTTATGAAATCATAAGCAGCACTAGTATGATCACTCTGTAACCTGTACTTCTGTGACTGACAATTACGTGACAACTGATCCATGCCCCTGTTAACCCCACCAGAAGTAACAGGGTAATTTTCATATTAGGCTACAGGAACAGTTCCTCCCATGCATTCGACTCCTGAGATTTTGCTCTAACAGCAAACATCAATGTCATCTCTTACTACTTCCTTCTTATCGCTATTTGTATGTCCAAGCCAAAGCAATCTTCATTCTTTCTTGGTTCTTGTGCATTATGCATTTCTCTTTCAAGCTTGTACATTATCTTTTCCATAAAGAACAGGTTAACAAGTCATTAGAAGGCAGAATCAGCTACTGAGTTTTGAACAATATCCCCAGATATTGTTCAATATGCCACTTATGAACAGATACGTTCACAAGGACAGGGAGTAGACACCAAAGGATTTGTAATGCCTAAGTGGCATTTGAGCATGTCTATTCATATGTTCACTGATCTCACATTGGTTTTAGGTAATGCGCATTAGCTTAGATTTGTGCCACGACAGAGACTTGGTACCTAAGTTATATAGGAAGAAAACTGAAAGCAAGTATGTACTTCAATTTATTTTGCTAGATGCTATTGTTTTCTAACGTTATAGTAATATTTAATTGTCCTGGTTTTGCCTGGGATAGAGTTAATTTTCTCCCTAGCAGCAGGCATAGTGCTGTGTTTTGGATTTAGTAGGAGAAGAATGTTGGTAACACACTGATGTTTTAGCTGTTGCTAAGTACTGCTTATGCTAGTCAAGGACTTGTTCAGCTTCCCATGCTCTGCCAGGTGCACAAGAAGCTGGGAGGGGGCAGAGCCAGGACAGCTGACCCAAACTGCCCAAAGGGCTATTCCATACCATGTGACGTCATGCTCAGGATATAAAGTGGGGGGAGTTGGCTGGGGGGCAGCGATTGCTGCTTGGGGACAGCCTGGGTACCAGTCAGCGGGTGGTGAGCAATTGCCTCGTGCATCACTTGCTTTGTATATTCTTTTACCGTTATTATTTTCTCTTTCTCTGCTGTCCTGTTAAACTGCCTTTATTTCAACCCACATTTCCCCCCTACCCCCTGCCCCAATTCTCTCCCCCATCCCACCGGTGGGCGGGTGGTGGTGGTGGTGAGCAAGTGACTGTGTGGTACTTAGTTGCAAGCAGTACTTCTAACAAACCATAAAGCAAAAATGAAAATAATCTCAGTAATAAGAGAATTTACAACTGAACTACAGTTGTGTTTGTACACATAGACAACCCGCATGTCTTTTTGTGATGCTTAAGGAGTGCACACATAGCAAAGCTGTGTTGTGTAGATGCTGTTCACTCCTGTGCAAATAGTGGTCTTGAAGTCTAACCATCATTGATGCCACTTAATAAACTCTCAGAGCAAAGCTGACCTAGAACTGCAGTGAATACACAGGATTTGAATTCATTTTCTGATTAGTTTCAACAAAACAGGAATAAACCAATGCTGGAAATTAGAATTTACAATGTGACAATTTTTCCTGGCATGAATTTTCAGTGACTAGATTCATGGTAATATAATCTGTGACATTTATGTAAGAGCCAAATACCAAAAATGAGAGAAACTGATCCTATATACAGCTGCAAACACAGTGGCACACTCTCTCCTTTAAGCATCAGAGAAAGTAATTTGCAACAGGAAAGTGCTTATACAGACTGTTTAGAAGTGGGAATTCAGGTACTACGCAGCTTTTCTGAGGTGACAACACCTATTCTGCATATCAACTACACAATATATTCGCAGTACCTAAATCTAAAGAGGACAGATAGTGTGCTCAACAGTAATACAGATGTGGCCATATTCAGTGGATCATGAAATACATTAATGTCCTATTTCTGATCAGAATCGGTGAGAAAAGGGGAGAGGGGAAGTGAAAAACTGTGAGAACGCAGAATAAATCATCCCTAAAAATTTTTTCCTCCTACTTACTGTGAGTTAGAGGATGACTTTTGGCCAGAAGCATTAAGGTTTATATTCCTTTTAAAACTCTTGGCTGTTTTAAAATATCTCCTCTATGGATATTCCCCTATATAAGTTCCAGTTCTTTGCTTAATCATTCTTCACTGCCACACCCCCCCCAAATGGCATCTAATTATTAACTAGGTATACAAGGCTGACCTCACATGGAGTTAAAAGTGGATATAAGAATTTTTTTTTAAACTAACAGGCAGATGAGAAAAACATATTCTAGGAAGCAGAAACACTGATCTTTCTTAAACGCTGAACCATGCTGTAAAACATACTAAGGGTTCCTTTTCATTGGACTCACACCAAAAGAAGGGACAATATTAAAAGTTGAGTCTTATTTAAAAAGAATTACATGGTATTTATTTTGCACCAATATACGGTGAAAGTAAATTCCACTAATTTTCCTATTTTGTTATCAGCTTGATTGGATGAGATCTACAGACGGCCTCCAGATGTGGTGCAGCATTCAAAAAGAGGTTAAAAATTCAAGTAGAAATAAAACCGCCTGCTACCCAGAGGGATGATGGTTTATTAACTCAAGTCTCCATTTTCATCCCTCTGGATATGTTAAAAATATGAAGAAATCTCTTGCAAGCCTAGGACCACCACAGAATACAGGAGAATGGTTAAAGACCTTGTGGTTTACACACCATTGAAAGCAATGAGCAGAGCAGAGCAGTATTACAATTCCATGAACCCATTTCCTGAAAAAGTGAATTTGTCCACACACATTGAAATAATAATGTGTTTCAGCTAAGCCCTTTGAATGAATGTGTACTGAATTGGCACTGTAATTGTATCAGATGCTCATAAGCACCATCTGCATAATTAAGATGGTCCCATAATTGAATTATATGCCCAAGCACAGTTTCAAGTGATTAACATTTAAATAACATTTTGAACTCCAAAACAAAAATGCTTGAAAAAATTGGTTTTTAAGAGCAAATGGGGATGTTTATATGACTTTTACCCTTAGCGATGTTTGTATTTTCAGCTCAGTGAAGTCAAGTAATCAAACTATCAGCAAATAACTATGTAACTTGGAAAATGAAACAGC